TTAGTGTTCGGGACTCAGACACAGTCTCAGTGTTTAAGTCTAGGCTTAAAACATATTTGTTTACTCAAGCTTACCCTGACTAGATTCTATCTTACTAATTCACAGTCATAATAATCTTTTTTCTCCCTCACTCCTTTTGCCGAGCCCCACACGAATTTATGGAGATACTGGAGATCCAGATCCTTTCTGCCTCTGGATGGAGCTCAAATCATCTCTAATTCCAGACTACTGGGACTACGGCTGCTCCTAAGGCCATACAGACTTCGTATAAATCCATTATCAACTTTTTCACATTATCTGTTGTTACCCAAATGAGGATGGGTTCCCTTCTGAGTCGGGTTCCTCTCAAGGTTTCTTCCTCTTAAAAGATCTTAGGGGTTTTTTCCTTGCCACCGTCGCCACTCAGTGGCTTGCTCAGTTGGGATAAATTTACACTTTCTTTATTCGTATACCATGTTTATATTTCTGTAAAGCTGCTTTGAGACATTGTCTATTGTAAAAAGTGCTATACAAATAAAATTGAATTGAATTGAATTCTATGGTGGAAGAAGGCTGTTTTTGTTACCTGGGAAATATGATTTTCCAGTGATAGGTTGCTGTCTAATACGACACCCAGGTCTTTAACTGTAGTGGATGAAATAACTGTACATGCTTCGATATAGAGTGTATTCTAAGAGCTAATGTGTACAGAATTTTGGTCCAATTAGCAATATCTCTACTTTATCATAATTTAGTCAAATAAAATAACCGGTCATCCAGTCTTTAATGTTTTTAAGGCATTCTATTAACGGGGAAAATTGAGCAATTTCATCAAGAATATACAGTGCCTTGCGAAAGTATTCGGCCCCCTTGAACTTTTCAACCTTTTGCCACATTTCAGGCTTCAAACATAAAGATATAAAATTTTAATTTTTTGTGAAGAATCACCAACAAGTGGGACACAATTGTGAAGTGGAACGAAATCTATTGGATATTTTAAACTTTTTTAGCAAATAAAAAACTGAAAAGTGGTGCGTGCAAAATTATTCGGCCTCTTTACTTTCAGTGCAGCAAACTCACTCCAGAAGTTCAGCGAGGATCTCTGAATGATCCAATGTTGTCCTAAATGACTGATGGTGATAAATAGAATCCACCTGTGTGTAATCAAGTCTCTGTATAAATGCACCTGCTCTGTGATAGTCTCAGGGTTCTGTTGAAAGCGCAGAGAGCATCATGAAGACCAAGGAACACACCAGGCAGGTCCGTAATACTGTTGTGGAGAAGTTTAAAGCCGGATTTGGATACAAAAAGATTTCCCAAGCTTTAAACATCTCAAGGAGCACTGTGCAAGCGATCATTTTGAAATGGAAGGAGTATCAGACCACTGCAAATCTACCAAGACCTGGCCGTCCCTCTAAACTTTCAGCTCAGACAAGGAGAAGACTGATCAGAGATGCAGCCAAGAGGCCCATGATCACTCTGGATGAACTGCAGAGAACTACAGCTGAGGTGGGAGAGTCTGTCCATAGGACAACAATCAGTCGTACACTGCACAAATCTGGCCTTTATGGAAGAGTGGCAAGAAGAAAGCCATTTCTAGCTGAGTATCGTCAGCATAACAATGAAAAGTATTACTTTTCCAGCCTTTTGTTGCCCCCGTCCCAACTTTTTTGAGACGTGTTGGTTTATGAGCTTTGCAGATCATTGCGTTCTGTTTTTATTTACATTTCACACAGCGTCCCAACGTTTTTGGAGTCTAAGAGTATGTCGTGATCTACGGTGTCGAACGCAGCACTAAGATTAAGTAGAACACGCAGTGAAATGCAGCCTCGGTCAGATGTTAGAAGTAAGCCATTTGTAATTTTGACAAGTGCAGTGTGTGTGCCGTGATGGGGCCTGAAACCTGATTGAAATTCTTCAAACATACCCGCATTCTGTGAAAAGAAGCATAATTGAACAGACACAACTTTTTCTAATGTTTTAGACATAAATATAAGGTTTGAGACTGGGCTGTAATTTTCTAGTTTACCAGGATCTAGTTGGGGTTTCTTAATGAGAGGTTTAATAACCGGCAGCTCGAATGTTCTCGGGACGTGACCTAGAGATAATGAGGAGTTAATAATATTGAGAAGAGGCTCTCCTACTACAGGAAGCAGCTCTTTCGTTAAATTAGTGGATATGCGATCTAGAATACACGTGCTTCTATTTGATGTGTGGATTTGATGTGTCTGTGTGTAAATGTCCTAATAAATATAAACATGATTGATTTTTTCCTTAAATTTATCATCAATGTATTTACTGTATGTATGCATGAATGTATTCTACTTATTATTCTTATTCTTCTTACTAACGTATGTTACATTGTTCTTGACCTCCAGTATGTTCTTGGAGGCCATGTCTGAGTCAGAAATGAAAATGCTTGTGATATGGAATCATGGACCACGGATTTTCACCGGCTTCTTCTATTATTTACACAGTAATTTATATTTCATTGGTTTTCTCAGCTGTCTGGTCGGATATCCGTTAAAGCTATATTAAAGGCATAGGAACTTTACGCGCTCAGCTTATTTTAATGTCATGAGCAGGGTTTAGATTTTAGACAGGTTGAAAAAAATAAAAATCCCTTCTACATTCGTTTCGGATGGATTTGGTTATGTTACATCAGTGTTATCGATATTTTAATTCATACCATATCATTGATTTAAGATTAACGCAGCGTGTTGGCAGGGGTGAAAGGAGATCTCTTATAAAGTTAGTGATCAGCACATACATAAATCACAAGAGATGAAATCAGAGTTGCCAGATTTGTATTTATTGTTGCTGATATAATCCCGGTCTAAAACCTGATGACGACAAGGTTTTTCATTTTCAAATGTTGTAAAAATTGTGAAACACAACATGGCTCCATAAACATCCATAAAACTTTAAAACACACATATTAATGCGACCCTGTTGAATTTTTCGTCGACTGAACAATCTGCTACAGTGTAAACTTTGTTAGAAGATGATAATAACAATATACACATTCATTACTCTTAGTCTTTATAAATGAACTTAACTAGCTAACTAACTTGCATTATGTTAGCCACCACCATTTAGTCGAGTAAGTTAACTTTCGGGAAAACCAGAAGAAGCAACTGGACAGCACCCTGGAGCTTTGACTTGACCAGTAATAAATTCATGACTTATCAGACTCTGAGTTAGCCTGCTAGCTGGTTACTACAGTTTTGGCATGGCAGATACACACCCATGTTTATATATCTAATAAATCATACGTAGTAAATATTACATATAAAATAAACCATGTGTTTATCTTATGGTCATGTGTTTTTGTTTTGTCCTGCCATTGGTTTGTTCTCCAAATGTGTGAACCTGTTCTATGTTCATCCTTAATTAGCTTGCCAATCCATACCCCAATGTTTCCATTTCTCATTGTGAAGTCTTGATAATTGTATTCATGCATTTCTGAGGATTGGGTTTCCTATTTATTTATTTTTTTTTTGGATTGCCCAAAATAATAAATGAATTTACACACTTACATATTGCCTCTAATCACATGGTACAATACTTTTAATGTCTATTACTTTGGACAGGAAATCCCAATGAAAGTTTATCTAGCAGTAACATCTAATCAGTCTGGACTGAGTGGAGAAAAAAAGTCTTATGAGGCCTGTCAGGCCTGCCAGCAGTTACAACATTTATAGCAGCTAAATTGAAGTGTTGCTGATGGGACAAATGTTTGAGGGGAATCGCTGTCTGCAGTTTAACACTTCCACACAGAATATACAATAGGAGGTAAGAGACAGGCAGGATGCACTGTACGTATCTTTTTAATACATTTACTTCTTTATACAACAAAAGGCTTTGAATGGCAGAAACCATCTGGCCTTGGAGGCTTAAACAACAATGATTTAAATAAATGCAAACAAACCTGTCTTCTGGGATTGGGGTGACTGCTATATACATTAAAACATGACCTTGTAGTCTACATTTATAGCAACTTCCTGGCAGCAGAATCACCAGGTAGTGAGCGTAATTAATATCTACAGCATTCAATCTGTGATGGTAGTGCCGGTAGATTGTATTATACTTTAAAATAGATGGTATACTAAATAGAGTGAAAGCAACTATTTGAGTTCAGTTCAATACCATTGAGAACAACAACATCAGCTGCTCATAGTCCTGAATACCATTCACCCATACATCCATCTTCTACCGCTTACTCCTTCTTCAGGGTCGCGGGGAACCTGGAGCCTATCCCAGGGAGCATCGGGCACGAGGCGGGGTACACCCTGGACAGGGTGCCAGTCCATCGCAGGGCACAATCACATACACACTCACTCACCCATTCATACACTACGGACACTTTAGACACGCCAATCAGCCTACCATGCATGTCTTTGGACTGGGGGAGGAAGCCGGAGAACCCGGAGGAAACCCCCGCAGCATGAGGAGAACATGCAAACTCCGCACACACAGGGCCCCGGCGGGAATCGAAACCCAGACCCTGGAGGTGTGAGGCGAAAGTGCTAACCACTAAGGTCCTGAATACCATGGGAAGGAAAATCAAGAAGTATTGGTCAGATTAGAGTGAAGGTGTTGATAGATTTTCTATAACATAGCTCTGACAGTAGCGCATTTGGAAATCACAGGTTTATATTAATTTGCTTGTTCTGTGTTATCGTTTCTATAGTAAAACGTTCTTCAAGCTGCATGATTTGTGTTATTAACTTTAAAGAGTGAGAAAAAAAATGAGGCTCATTATTAAATGACTGCTTATTATTGCAATAACAGTCCATCCATCCATCTTCTATACCGCTTATCCTTTTCACAGGGAACCTGGAGCCTATCCCAGGAAGGATTGGACAGGGTGCTAGTCCATCCCGTGGCACACTCACATACTACGGACATGCCAATCAGTCTACCATGCATGTCTTTGGACTGGGGGAGGAAACCAGAGCACCCACAGCATGGGGAAAACCCCCACTGCACGGGGTGAACATGCAAACTCCGCACACACAGGGCCACGGTGAGAATTGAACCCCCGACCCTGGAGGCATGAGACGAACATGCTAACCACTAAGCCACCATGCGCCCCTGTAACACTCCACAACATTAAACAAATCTAGAAATGACTAAAATGTATAATGTTTCATTCTTTCATAATAAATTGGGAGTTGTAATCTTTGGCACATTGCTATTGTTTAAGAAGAACAAATCATTCTTGCTGTTATAGGAAAATAATCATCTTTGGGATGGAACAGTGTCTGACTTTGTGTTGAGCCTCATTATACCAATACATTGTTGATTATTTTCCTATAACAGCATGCCCTGAATGAGAAATGAGAAATTTCTATGAAAACTATGAATGAGAAATTTATGTCTAATATGTGGACTCTTAGACTGAAGTGTTACTGATTTATTCCTTGGAGGTCCTTAGAATAATCATGACTGTACAAGAATCTCTCTCTCCCCCTCTCTCTCTCTCTCTCTCTTTCTCCCTCCTTCTCTCTCTCTCTCTCTCTTTGTCCTGGTGTAGGCTTGTGGGAGTACTGATTTGGAATTAATTTAGGCTGCTGTAGGCCATGATAGTGCAGAAGTCTCCCAGTTCTCAAAAAGATCATTAGTGTTCAGGAAAGAAATGAGGCTAGGTGAAACCTTTGTGCAGATTATAAAAAGTATTTAAGAGACAATTCTGAAGTTTAAAATAACGTTGTGGCTTTTTTTGAAACTCTAGGAATCCTAAGTATGAATATTTTTCTTCTCTTCTTTATCTTCGTCTTCTTCTTCTTCTTCTTCTTCTTCTTCTTCTTCTTCTTCTTTGTTTTATTATTTGCATTACTGACAAGTTTGTTTTGCAATGTTTATTTGTGCCATCTATGAATATCGTCGCATCCTGACAGTTAACTAAGACACCTCAGTGGGCGCCTTTTTGTTGTTTTTTTTTTCTTTCTTCCTCGACAGCTCTAACACAATTCTTTCAACTGTAGCGCATAAATGACTCGCGAGAATTACAGCGAGATAAAGACGAAACTTCCTGCTCAGAGTGGGCATTCAGGAGCACAGCTCCCCCCCCCCCCAAAAAAAAACAAACAAAAAAAACAAAAAAAAAACATTAAGTGCACATCACTCGTGGTGTGGACTTGATCAGAAAGAGAAGAACCTTGTTTAAACATTTTATCTCGGTTCATTAGAATGTAATTGCACAGCACCTGTTTAAAACCTAAATCAGTAATTAGTGCATTAGTCAAGACCTGCCATCTGCTACAGTAAATGGAGTTAAGGAAGAAAAACACACACACACACACACACACACACACACACACACACACACACACACACACACACAAATTAGTTTCCAGTGCTTAGTCTCAGGCTGCTGTGAGTGATGGATATCTTGTAGATATTGGGAGCAAATGAAGCTGGAAATTGCGAAACCAACATCGATCATGGCACTTGTGGAACCTAAAATGGGAATGTTTTGTAATGATGTGCATTTCAGGTTTGAAATGCCTGATGACTGATAGGAATTCCTATTAAATAAACAACATTCACACACAAGCTCTTCTTTATAAACTTTATTTATTTATTTATTTATTTTTTAAAGTGCACGCTGATTTATGATAGGTGTCCGCCATCTTCCATCTACATGATCTCGCAGGGCTGTCTTGCCTCATGTGTCTGGAGCATCATCGGGATTGAAACACTAACTCTAGATGAAAGGTTGTGCCACATACAGTACTGTGCAGAATGCAACGAAATGCTATAAAGCAAAGAAGCCGTCAAAAATAATGACATTAAACATTTGTGCATAAAAAAAATCCACTATTCAAGCCAGTAAACTGTAATAAACTAAACAAATTCAATATTAAGTGTAACAAACCGTTGCTGTTTAAAAATGCATCAGATGCCTCAGGTACAGTTTGTGCAGGTTTATAAGGAAATTAGCTGGTGCGTTTTTCTGAGCATCTTGGAGAACTTGCTACAGTTCTTCTGGAGACTCTGACTGTCAAAGCTGTTTCTGTTTTTGCAGATAAAAAACAGAAAGACTTCATTATTAATATTTTTTTATCAAAAAGGTGGTGTATTGTGTAATATTTTGCTTTATTTCCATACCAACATTTTCCTGCAACATCAAATTTTTTAATGAAGGGCGGAGGTTTTACAGGCGTTATTTCCTGGACAGGGTTCACGGCTAATTTTAGAGATGCGTCATCTGAACCGTACTCTTCGGACATACAGGTTCAGGATGTTGACACTCAAACTTATTGTTCCACAGACTCAGTTTGTGATGATAAATCTAAAAAAGACACATATTCCATTCCCCAGTAACAGGAAGTTCCTGCGGTTCGCATCTGGAGGCAACACATATCAATATCAGTACCTTCACAGAGTGCATGGATGCCACACTGCCTCCATTGCAACTCCAGTGCATCCGTGTGCCAAACTACCTGTTTCCTCCGAGGATGAAACCCCTGAGAGTAATCAGCGTCACGAAGCGATGTCTACGTGCTCTGAGAACGTAGAGATGTCCCCGGTTTCTACACTCTAGGGGCATCTCTTATCACAAAATGGTGTCAGATGCCTTTCTCTGGAGAGGCCCTCATCCAGTGTGGCATATAAATCGCCTACAAGCATGGGTCATACTCCTAGCACAGAAATTCTTCTCAGTTGAGAGGTCACCATGTGTTAGACAATACAGCGGTGGTCTCATAAATCAACCATCAGGGAGGATTGCGTTCACACCCCCTGTTCAGGCAGGCTCAATGAATTCTTCTCTGGTGGAGGGGAAATTGTGTCAGTGAGTGCAATGTACATTCTGGGCAACTGGATTGGACATCCTTTCAAGGCATGGACTGAGGCCCAGGGATTGGAGGCTCTATCTACAAGTGGGTGGATCCATATGGTGGAGGTTTGGAGATATTCCGATGTGGAAATGGACATGTTCGCCTCTGAGGAGACAACATGCTGCTTGCTGTGGTTTGACCTCACTCCTTCCACAACAAAGAAAAAAGGTCAGGGCTTGATTCCAAGGTACACACGTGGCTGAGTTCACATCTGTACGCCTTTCCCCTGATCACTCTTTTCCCACAGGCTCTTCCAAGAGTTCACCAAGACCGTGGTATGTCTGCTGCTAGTAGCACCAAATTGGCTAGCTCGAATTTGGGTCTCGGAGATAATATCTCTGCTGGATGGCACTGCCTGAGAGATTCCTGTTCACAGAGATCTATTGTCTCCAGCCAGAGTGTTGATTTATCACCTTTGGACAGAACTATGGAAACTCTGAATCTGGCCCCATAGATTCCGGTCTCTCAACCGAGGTTGTAGAGACAATGTAAAATTCAAGGATTGTTAGTGAGACCCAGCAAACTTTGCTGAAGGTCTGTAAGGAGCCCCATTTGAGCCCTTAGAATCAGCTTCAGAGAAGCTTCTGACTTTAAAGGTAGCACTTTTGGCTGGCCCTGACATCTCTGTTGCTTTTTCCTGCCTTGACTTTGCCCATAAATTAGCCAAGGCCTCACTATATCCTAGGCGGGATTATTCCTAAGTACCTACGTCCATTGGCCATTTGGTAGTGTTGCAGACTTTCTATCCCCCACTGTTCCTTACACCGGAATGAGGAAAACGGCATCTACTGTGTCCAGTGAGGGCTCTTGATACTTATGTCCACTGCTCCGGTCAGTGGCTTAAGTTGGACCATTTGCTGGTCTGCTTGGCAGTGACAATAGAGGTGATATTGTGTCAAAACAGCACATCTCTATTTGGATAGAAGAATCCAATCTCTATTGGTTTTGAGGCACGCAGCCTCACTATGCCTCTCATCAAATGGGGCTCATTCCACTAGGGGGGTTACCTCCACAAAGAGTTTATCTAAGGGGTACCCTTATAGGATGTGTGTGCTGCAGCATGGTAGTCAACGCCACACACATTCATTCAGTATTACAGTTTGACCTTATTGGCCAACTAGTATATGGTTCTCAGAGATAATATCTTTGCTGGATGGCACTCCCTGGGAGATTCTCATTCACAAAGATCTTTTGTCTCAAGCCAAAGAGTTGATTTATCACTCTCTGCTATGGAACTATGGAAACTGTGAGTCTGAGGGGCACCAGCTCATAGATTCTGGTTTCTCAACCTATGTTGTAGAGACCATGTTGAACGTTAGGAACATCAGTAAGACCCAGTAAACTGCCCATTGGCTACAGTCCTGGAGTTCTTATAGGAACCTTTCTCAGCAATCTCCACTTCTGACCAGGAAAAAACAAAAAAATGCCGCGACAAATCAGAATTCTTACTCAGGAACTAGCGGCGGTCTCCTCAACTCCAAGTTCAACAAGTGACGTCAGATCAACATGTTGAGCAGTAAACGCAGCAGGACGTCTTACCTTCAAATAAGTTCCATCAAATCACTCAACAAACTTATATTTATAATATTTGGGTGAAGTAGGTATAGTACAGTATTTAGTGAATTGAAATGAGGTTAATAACAATTAAGTAACAGCAGATGGGGAAAATGACCATTGGCCAATGAAATGGTAAATATTCCAGTATTGTAGCAGGACGTTCATAATTTAAAAAAAAAGTTCATATTGGTATTTTCTCATTAATATGGAAAAGCTAAATTCATGTGTTTGTGAGTGTGTGTGTGTGTGTGTGTGTGTGTGTGTGTACTTGGTGTTACAGATGCCACAGTCACTCTAACAAGACAAGGAAGGATGGCTGAGCTCGACAAAAAGATTTAACATCAACAACAAGGCGACACAAAAGATGGATGGCTCGTTTGTTTTGCACACTGTTCCCTAAATGTTAATTACGCAACGTTTATTATCTAATGCTTATTATCACGCACCTCAGGCATTGCCATTTTTATGCTCTTATTTGACAACAACAACAACTAAAAAACAGCACTCCACTGCACGTTATGTGCGCTGGGATAGAGCTCGTGTGGTTTCTTTTCCATAGCAATTCTTAGCTCTAGCCATGAAATCAATCATGACACAGGAGGCCAACCTGGCAAACTCAAGGTTTATTGCTCAGCAAGAACAGCTTACTACAGTCATGAGATTCAGATTTATTCCTTAAAAGCATGGCTAAAG